ATGCGCTCCTTCAGCATATCATGCAGGCTACAAGGTTTCGCAACCAACAGAGGGCCTCCGTCCTGGATTTAGTTATAACGCGGTGTTTATCTGACATAAGTGAGGTGTCAGTGGTGACTCCACTAGCCCAGAGTGATAATGGGGTACGTAGGTTAGAGCTACCAATCAAACAGCAAACCGGCTGCCCACTTTAACGGTGCTATAGCCGTATAAACGTGGCTGTCGTACAAAAGGCCGCGGAGCACGTAGATTCGGTACCACTAGCTCCTAAGACAACGTTGGAAGAACGATGGTCTGCCGTTAAGGTAGAATTCCTTAAACTGACCGACAGGTTTGCGCCACTCAAACCCAGGAACGATAGGCAACGACCAACGTGGTGGAAGCTACAGATAGATCGGGCACTAGTAGTCCGGAGGAGATACTGGGCCTTTTTTATGGCATACCGGACTACCAATGCGCGATCGATCTGCAAGAGGGCACAAAAGAGAGCGCAATCCCTTCAAAGGGAGGCGAAATATGAACACGAAAACAAGTTAGCGCAAAACGTAAGGCATAACCCGAAAAGGTTTTATGCATACTTGCAAGCGAACAAGAACACTAAGGAGGGAGTAGGTACACTGAAGATAACAGAAGGCGTAATGGCCACCACCGAACAGGAGAAGACGAATGCACTCCTTACCTTATTCAGCAAAATCTTTCGGCTCTGTCAGTCATTAGCTTCTTAATCTAGAAATGCATGTGCTGGGGATTCTAGGTAAGGCAAGATAATGGATTAGACTATTTCTCAACTGTCGCACATTCAATGTAAGAGTTGGAAATTATATAACCGAACCTGAGGGGATATCGAGTGGTGTCCCACAGGGATCGCTACTGAGTCCGTTATTATTTCTGATCTGCATTAACGATCTTGCGAGGGATCTCCAAAATTCTTGCTACATGTTCGCTGACGATGTGAAGTTAGCTGGGGAAAGTTGGAACAAGATCTAGATGCAGTTCAGTGGTCAAATAAATGGGATCTACCACTGAGTCTAGGTAAGTGTCAGCTCTTGACCACAAGAGCTAATCATGACACGAGAGGTGTGATGCATTTGCAGCATGTCTCTAGTAGTCTAGTAGTTATGATTACAAATCTCTTCAGGCCATCCTTGCAGTGCAAGAGTGCGGTTGACAAAGCTCGACACGAACTTTTAAGGTTGTGTGCTGTTGTAAGTTGCAGAAAACCCGAGGTTTTCGTGCCTTTTCTACAATACTATTTTGCGTCCTCGTTTAGAATATTGCATACAAGCATAGGCGCCTTGTTTCAAACAGGATGAACGGTGCCTTGACCAAGTACAACGTTTAGCAACCAGAATGGAAGCAGGCCAAAACGTAAGGGATACCTCCAACGACTGATGAACCTGGACCTGTTCTCCCTAGCCCGCAGACGACTGCTGGCAACTTTATAGAAACATTTAAGATTGTCAAAGGGCTTTCGGGTCTAAAGTTCGAAGACCTATTCTCGTTTGTTCCTTCCAAAGGAGCGAGAGCGCATCAACTTAGACTTTAAGTAAAGATTCTCCTGAACCCGACTGCGGCTTGCACTCCCAAACCAAGAAACACATGCTCTGAAGCAAGAGAGACATTGGGATAAATATCACATCCAGCTTTTCGCTCGGCGAACAATGCGCCGAAGCAGCCCACACGGTCCGAGCTGCAGTAACCAGCAGAGAAGCCGATGTATTTATCCTTCTGTATAGGGTACTTATAAGACCTCACCCAGAATACTGCGTCCAAGCTTGGGCTCCCTATCGAGTAATGGACGTAGGCAGCCACCAGAATGGTTCGTACAACTAAAGGGCTCTCCTACGAGGATCGGCTTCAGTGTCTAAATATCTTCTGTATGTAGACGTCTAAGAGGAGACCTGATCGAAGTCTTCAGACAAACGAAGAACGCTGATCTAGGTCTCCTACCATTGAGATCCACGAGAGAAATAAGGGGCAACGAATACCCTCTAGAAAAGAACAGGAGCAGGTTGAATGTTAGGAAACATTCCTTCTCCAATAGGGTGGTCAACTTCTGGAATCACCTTCCCGAAGGACTCGTTCGAGTAACCACAGTGCAACCTATTATGATGGAATTAGATCGATTACGGACCTAGACCTTTCCAGAGGTGATATAAAGACATAACAGAAATAAGCTTCTTTTCTTCTCCCCACCCCTCACGTTTGACATCCAAAGACATGATCGAGGGGGACAAGTGCAAGGTGGAGGAGTAGCGCTTCTCATTCACAAAGAAACTCCCCACGAGAAATTGGACATAGAGGTTTGCACTCCCAATATACAAATGTGTGCTGTTTCACTACTTTCCAGGACAAACAGCGCCACCATAACCAGTGTGTACAGGTGTCCGGGAGCCACCATAGACAAAGATGAGCAACTAATTAGGACGCTGCATTCACTCGCACAGTCCCAACAAATACTGGTAATAGCTGGGGACTTTAACCTACCTGGCAGCCAGTAGACTGCCAAGACCTACTCGGAGGGTACACCAGAGGAAATGTTCCTGAGATGGATACAATACAGAGCCCTCCTGCAACACGTGAACGAAAACATCAGGTTCAGGACTCGGGAAAGTCCATCGCTCCTATATTTGGTGTTCACTAAATACC